GGGGGGGGCTGCTCTAAGACTCGGTGCCCTGGCCCCACCCGAAGCCCCCCTCGTCGAACCCTGACGGGGTGTCTCACGGTGGCCCGGGGCTTCCGCAGGGGAGCGGCACTCACTGCCACCGTCATCTCCGCCCCAGCTCTGCTCCAAGGAAAAGGCAGGCGCTGTTCCCAAGTCCCGTCGGTCTCCCCCTCGTCCTCTTTACTTTCACTGACACACAGGCTTGTGACCGTGACCACAAGGGGGGGATTCAAAGCCACCACCCGCTCCCCCCACAGCACGTCCTCCCCCTAACGCCCCACCACCTGGTCCCCACACACGTGAGCCCCCCGGCTCCCTTCCTTTCTCCCGGACTTCTCCCTTGGAGGCTGCTTGCCACCAAGGTCTCAGGACGCCGGCGCTTCTCTCCCGGATCCCAGAGCGGCACCCTGTCAGTCCCCCATCCGTGCTCGAGGGCTTGCCCGCTTCCACATTCCCAGGGCCTCCGCACCCCACCTCCGCACAGCCCCCCCGCCGCAGCCACTGCGGCCAGGCTGCCCGCTCGCCGTCGTCCGCCCTGCCCACGGCTGTGTGGTGTCCCACCCCGCACTTCCTACTTGTCTGTGCCCAGCACGACACGCCTCAACTCCCGTGTCCCAGAAGTCTAGAAGGTTTTCCCCACCCACCTGTTGATTCTTGGACACTCAACGCCCTGCAGGCAGTTCTGACGCCCCAAGACCAGTTCCGTCAGCTGGTTCTCAGAAATCCCCACGCCCACTGCAGTCACCCCTCCCCAGTGCCACCTCGTCCCTTGTGCGGCTTCTCCCGTTCTCCCGGCAAGGCCGCGCCCAGAGGCTTCGCCTTCATCAGGCCCTGCCCCCTGCAGCCTGACCTTCACCGACCTCTGAAGCTTCTCTCTTGGAACCTTCTGCTCTGGCCAAACAGGCCTTTCACCAAGTCCCCAACAGACCCAGTGCACTCGTGGGGCGGATGCTCCCCACTGCGTGGCCACCACGGCATGATCTTCAGCCACTTAAAATCAACCTACCCGAGGACCAGCTTCCGTTCTGCTGCCTCTGTATAGCCACCGGGGTCAGTACCCAGCAAGTGCTACCTGAGGAGCTGGCTTTGTCACTGCTATTATTGTTACGATAATTGTGTCCGTTTGGGCTGGGAATAAAGTCTCCTTCCTCTGAAATCTGTTAGTATTAATCAGGGGCACTGAATCCTCAGTTATTAAGCTCACGCCATCATCACAAGACTGTTCTGAGGTACTTACAGCGTTCCACGCAGGGGTCTGAGAACTGCACACCTCGGTCTGAACCTACACCTGCTCCTTACTAACGTGTGACCTTGAGGGGCGCCTGGGTGGCTCAGTCGGTCGAGCGTCCGACTTCCGCTCAGGTCGTGATCTCATGGTTTGGGAGTTCAAGCCCCGCGTTGCGCTCTGTGCTGACCGCTCGGAGCCGCTTCAGATTCTGTGTCTCCCTCTCTCTCTGCCCTCTCCCCTGCTCATGCTTTCTCTCTCTTTCAAAAATAAACAAACATCAAAAAAAAAAAAACTAACGTGTGACCTTGGGTCACTTGCTCTCTGGGCTAGTTTCTGCATCTGGAAAATGGGTAAAATAATCAATCCTACCACATCATAGCAGTACAGAAGCTAACACAAGAAAACCCTGAAAAGAGTGATTAACATAAAATAGTTACTATGAGAGGGACTATATAGGAGAAATTACTCCAAATACAACCCCCTAACTCCAAACTGCATAAAAGTGGGAAGATTCTAAAATCTTGAGGTATGTAGGTAAAGATTAACCATATAAACCAAGCAACTTAATTTACAACTGACATCTCCATTCCATAGGCAATTAATCCAGCAAACAAAGCAAGAAACAAAACAGAACAAAAAAGGACTCCTTTCTAGATTGGAGAAACATTTCAAAATTATTTGACCGGATGTGATTAATAAGACGTAACAGGTGACATACATGTTGCAGAAAGCAGGATCCTATTTCACTTAAATGAGGTTCCTCTTTATTGTACTGTTTCTCAAGGTCTTTCAGGAACTTTCTTTGGAATTTGTAAATATCTTCAATGTTTCCAAAAATGGTGGCTAGTTGCGCAACAGTGAACATTCCCGTGTGTTTGCGACACTGTCGGATATAGCCCTGCGAAACAGAGAGGTAAACTTTTAAAAATTAATTTGGAGATTCACAGAAATTATTTGAATAATACAGTGTTTTGGGCCCAAAGCCATTATCTTAGAGTAGATTTTAATTAGAGAAAATTATTTTACCCTATGGGTCCCTGATGGGGTAATCACACTTCCACGACTGCAGTGTGCTACGAATATTTTTAAAAGAAAAGAGAACAACAGGTGCATGTGGTTGGATTTAGGACGCAAGAAACTATATAAAGTTTTCAGATTATACTCATAAAGCAAAGTTGCAGGGTTTCAAACATGAGGGCTCAAACATTGGGACTGTCATACTTTTTCTAAACTCTTAAGATAATCATTCTCCCATCCCTAATTTCATTTCACAGCTGAGAAGACCTGTCAAATACAGAATGCCACAGCTTGCTGAACGGCTCATGCAGCCGGCTCACTGTCATGGCCAAGAGCCAAGGACATCTTACCCAAGGATTCCACCATTTCCTACTTTCTATATAGAGCACAGATCTGCAGATCTTTAATCCGAGGCCTGGCCCGATTACAGCCCTACTCATTCTCTACGTACAACACCCTAGTTGTACCATGGCTTGGGTAGAAGTTAGTGTGGAAGGAATGAAAGGCCATAAATGTGTGTAATAATTATCCCCAAATCAGCATCATGTAATAACATAGCCTAAGCGGACTACATGATAAAATACATACCGCTGCCCACTTGGTCTGAACTTTAACACAAAGACAACGTAAAGGTTCAAGATACAGGCGGTAGGGCAGACCCGTATGATTTAAATCCTAACCCCACCACTTTACTTTCTCTGTGCCTCAGTTTCCTCATCTGTAATAGGAGGGGTAGTAGGACCTGCCCGGTGAGTGTTTGTAGGAATTCATCCAGGTCAAAGGAAGGCACAAAGTCAAAGCTCGACAATTATTAAGCCATGACTGATTTTCCTAAAATGGCACTTTAAAAAAACTCCCTTAACTTCTAGGGAACAGATGGTTAAAGCTAAACATCGCTCAGTCTTTCTCTGGCCAGCTAATCCAATCACTGGGCACTTGTCTCCCTTGTGTTTGTCTTTAGTGCTAAATGTTCACAGCTGAACTGAGAGTGCAGCACTCAGCATTCAGGGCCAGGCCAGCGGGAACGAGGAGATGGGGCCAACACCAGTGGAGCGTAATGCTCGTACAAAATCCACAAAAACACAGAGGATCGTGAGAGACACAGAATTTATCACACAGTAGTTACCATGACACTGCAGAATATAGCTTTGAAAATCACTAGATAAAACCAATTTTTTCTTTTTTTTTTTGGTCTGCATCTAACTGATTGAGAACCTAATCTGTGAGACAGCGATTAGATGTAGTGGGATTGTAAATAGTGACGCACATTTGTGGAATCGTGTGGGTTTCACCCGACGGCTGTTGCCCCCTCTGAAAGTCATTCACTCTGGGAGCGCCTGGGTGGCTCAGTCGGTTGAGCGTCCTACTCTGATTTCAGCCCAGGTCCCGATCCCAGGGTTGTGAGATCGAGCCCCGCGTCGGGCTCCGTGCTGAGCACAGAGCCTGCTTAAGATATTCTCTGTGCCCCTCTCCCTGCTTGCTCTCTCTCTCTTTCTCTCAAATAAATAAGTAAATAGATAGATAAGTAAATAAAATTAAAAGGCAGAAAGTCATTCGCTCTGAATAACTTCAGGATGTCAGTCCTGAGAGTGTAGGAAAGAAAGCTGACTACAGCAGGGGGCCACTGATGCTCAACAAGGCAGACAGGTATTTAATGAGGGTGCAGTCCGTGCAGGGGCCGCACGGACAGACAGGAGAGGAAAAGGGAGGGCTACAGAGAAGTGTGTCTGACTGGGAACAGAAGAAAACCACACGGGCATATCCCACAGACAACCTGGGGGAGGCCGCGGGGTCCGGGGTCTTACCTCACAGATGTCCTTGAGGTGCTTGATGTACACCCGCTCAGTGTTCATGATCTCCTGGATGACATTGGTCCTCATCTGGTGCTTGCTCTCCAAGTGTCTGTGGCGGTTCTTGCCGACATCCTCCTCCTGCTCCTCACCCTGGGTGCTGCTGGAATTCTCCGACAGCTCTTCCTGATTGACACGTAACTGCGGGCCACACACAGGTGACAGGTGACTCGGGGGGAGGCGGCGCCAGAAGCAGGCAGAAGGTCCCCCCCACCCCAGGTTTCCACTTCTCCACGGCTGGTTAGGAAGGCAGCCTGGCCCTAGGCTACGTCTTCATGTACTTGGCAGGGCCACGGCTGGGCCGGCGGCTCAGACCATGGCAGCAATGCCACAGTTAGTTGACCATGGTTGAAATTTTTCCTTCAACCCATCTAATTTCTGAAAGGTTTCATTAAAATGATTACAAAGAGGGGCGCCTGGGTGGCTCAGTCAGTTAAGTGTCCAGCTGCAG